AGTTAATATTTCTTTATATTTTTATTGCTAAATATACGTTTTGACTGCGTTATAGGAAATTTAATATTTGTTATCGACATTTTTTTGTAGTATCATTCAGGTTTTATATACATCTCTAAAAGACGAAATGTAACGGCTAAGTAGAACTGTTCGCTTTCAATTGAGAGTTTTTTGTGACTCACGTACTGAATTGTAAATTCGTCTCAAGTCACAAAACTGTTTCTAATTTAAATAGTGGTTAAAGAAACTATTTGTTAAAAGTCATATGGGTATTTGAAAATCCTTGTATTTGGTTCGTTAGTATATGTAATCAGAGAAATTTTTCAGAAATAAATGCCCTCGTAATTTCATTCAGATATCTTATAAAAAAGAATTTTACGGTATAAAGTCAGTCACAGGTACAGAGACACACATTTGTTTTCTAGAGGCTTGAAAAGTCATGTTAGATAATTTTTAGATAAGAGGTGTCATAGTTTGAAGACACTACTTTTCCAAAGACATGAGGTCATCCCGCTATATGGAGACAAACCGTACCCTATGTGAAATCACTTACTAAACATGAAATGTGTACTAATTTTTGATCTTAATGGATCGTTTTTGAAGATCGAAAAAAAGTTTGTGCCTATTCTATTTGTACCAGACATCTACAGCACTGCAACAAAGAGTACACCGCATGCTTAGTGCCAGTTAACACTGGACTTTTTTGTCGTCCAAACCGATTTTTTGTGGGCCGTTTTCACCAAGTTGTGGTTAGGTTACCTACAGATAGTTCGATTACCTTGCATTGTGAATACGCAAAACTGTCTAAACCATGTATGTGTATGTTCAGACAAGAACTCTTTTTGCCGCCTAAATCGGGTGCCGTAGGCAAAGGGAAGACGAGGAAAGACGAAGAGACCATGCCGCTAGTGCTCGGGTGGCATGCGTTGTGTTGTCTTGTTCCTAACATTTCGCTGCTACGCAATTCAGCATTCCTTTTCGTATTGATATTCCTTTAATGGTTGCAATAGAGCTCGGTTTTAAAATGAATATATACGATATGTTCGGATATTTGAATTTGTTACCTATTTGTTGTATGTAATATGCATAGTATAAAAGGTAAAAATACGATACTCGAAATTATTGAATTCAAGTATCTAATAACATTTAGCAGTATTAAATGTTATAATATAGATAAATGAATTTTAAACAAAATGGAGTAACTTTTATTTTTTTATGTTAACATATAAATATTAATATCTAATATTATTTTATTTAAAACAAGAATTGTAATTAATTCATAAATGTTTTATAATAAATAAAAAATAATATGCAGTGAAAAAATTACGGGTTTTTAATACTATCCGAAAGATTAGGAAATTCCCGTCATAAATTTGGTCTTGAAAATATTATTAGCGGGTATTCAATACATTCTGATGCAATAGGAAATTCCCGACTTAAGTATTTCTTTGAAAATATTAACAGCGAGTAATATGCGTATTCTTCTACCACATTCATGGTAATTCCTTGTAAGCAAAATGTGAGACCACCATACCAACATATAAATGAACTATGCAACACCTTCAGTGTCGTGTAGCCGAACCGCACAAACATTTGCGAAAATTTTGTGAAAAAGAAGACAGAAAAATTCTACTTGATTTGCTGGACTCTTTTCGCTCGTGTGAACGCACAGAGCGACACCAAAAGAGAATTTGCCGATAATGAGAATGTGAATGCCCACTTGTGTATTTTTCTTTGGTTTGATCGGACCAAATTTGGTAGTTTCATTTCTTCAACTTCGTGCATGAAATTAAATAAAAAAGTGGTTATGGACGAGTAAATACTTTAGTTTTACTTCAAATAATTGTTAATATTATACTCTTTTACTGTTTTTCATACGTATAATAAAAAACCTCCGCAGTAAACTAACAAAATGTTATCGACGTCAGATAAATGAAAGCTTGAACTTTTGCAACATGTCAATTAACAATTTGACAATGCTGATGTAGGTGTTCGACTGGAGCATCAAGAGGCATCCTGTAAGAGTTCAGACTGCAGTACTCCGATACTTTTACGAATTGCTTTGTTTGTTGCCAACAACGTTTCTTTCTAGCAACTTGAGGATTTTGTTACGGCTCTGTACTTTGGCATTAAACGTGGTCATATATGGATTGAAGGAGGACAGGCTGTCAAATGTAACGCCTAAAATTTTTGAGGTTTTGACAGTATGTATTCCTTCCTCTATTTCATTAATATGGTCGCAATGAATTTAGTGGGGAAGAGTGTCAGGCTACTTTCGAACACTGACGTCAGTATCATACAATCATCTGCAGATGAGGTGGCGGAAATTCTCTCTGGTGGTGGAGGAAGCCTCGAAATATAGAAGTTAAACAACAGCGGGGAGAGGACACCACTGCGGCATGCCCTGTTTAATTCTTCTTAACTTAGAATTTTGACCTCGAAACAGTACGGATGATTACCGACCACTCAGATAGTTCTTGACAACTTCACAATCTTTTGTAGTGATGAATGCTCGCATGACCTTCAAAGCGAAAATTTCGTAGGGGGTGATTGGTGGTTGTTTTTACTAATTCTCTTACTTAGTTCAATGTGTTTTTGTTTATATTCTCATTCAACACACTTCTATTTGCTCACGTTTTTACTTATGCTGAGAAACAACACAAAAAAGTTTCTCTGAGTATATGATATAATCCGATTGTAGCAGCTCAGAGTTTTGATCGTATTTACTACTTTGCTCTGATCGTTTTGTAACAAAAATAGACAATTTAACATGAGATGTACTCTTTGTTAGTGTGCACCGTTTCAGTTCTCTGGTATGTATTATATGTATATATGTATGTGTTGTAAACAAAGTGGATTTAAAAAAAGGGATTGAACAGCAATAAACATATGTATTTATTAAATATTAGACTTAGTAATTATACAAAAGTTGGTTGGATATATATGTGTCTTTGTCTATATAAACCTAAATTTTTTTTCTCTAAAGTTAGGCTTATATATACATATATGTAAATATAAAATATAAGTGTGAATGGATTTATTCAAAAAGAAAATTAATTTGAATAAAAATAATTTATAAATATTGAATTATTGTTGATCATTTTTATGATATGCTACAAAACAATTACTTTTATCAGTTAAGCACAATTGTTCCCGTGTTTGTCCCCAAAATAACATGTTTAATTTTTGCATCATGCACAATCTCTAACGTCAGGAAGATGATCAATACCATCGAAACGAAAATTTTGTGGTTGTCCATGTTCTGCTGCACGAAAGACTGTCGTCAGTACTCCTGGCCAGTTTTTGCTTGTATTCCTGTTAGCCGCTATATTCGTGAGAACATAAGTTACTTCCAAACGATACGCCTTTGGAGTCACTAGGATTGGAGTTTGCTCTTTTAAAAAGTAGCCAAACATTGACCATGCCAAGATCCAATATGTTATAAAATATTCGTATTAATTATTTTCTGATTTTCAAGGCAATATTAAGGCGAATGAGGTGAGCTTCCATAAGGTCCGCACCTACGTTATAAATGTTGTACTCTATAATGATTTGGAGACAATATATAGTTATAATATTCTTTTCCTTTTTGTCCCAGCGTTATATAGTCGGAACTTTAACGTTATCGGCATGTGCATTATGTACCGGTTTCATCGCAACGAAAGTAGAGACAACTACCCGATTATCCAATGTGGTTATTCAGTATAAATTTCAAACATGTACATAAATTGTACGTCTATTGATAGACGAGATCCCATAAGAATATATTGAATGCGATCATTCAGACACTTCAGCTCAGGGTCTCTTTAAAAATGAATTGCGAATCGAATCTTCATTCAGTAATTCATAGTCTATTTCGGCTTGATTTCTAATACGATGCGGTGGTTGGGTTTCATCTATTTCCTCCAAAGTGTCTGCGAATTATTTTTCATCATAAGACACACTCCGATTTTTTTTTATATAATTATTATCACATAACATATTTTCCTCTTCATTTGTGTTATACTTTTTTCCATCAATTCTAAATTCATCCATGTCTAAACATAATGTATAAAGAAATTAGCAAACGCTGAACAAAATGCAATTTTTTATTTAGCTTAGATGATAGACCATATGTGGTACATAAGAAAAATGCAAAAGAAGTTATGGTAAATTATTGTTTTTCATAACATTACAACATTTCAATTTAACTAAAATAAATACTAATGTATTTACCTGCAACATTTATTGGACAAACAATGTAATAAATTATTATTTATGGAGAAATAAAATTTACACTTCAATTTTTTTTTGCAAAATTTACCTCAAAAAGCTGTGGTAATTTTTAAATGACCGTTAGTTTTTATAACGAAAGATTTAAGGCATGTACCATATATGGTACGCTATGCATTTATTCTATGTAAAGTTAAAGAATCAGATAAATTTTAAAATTGTATGGGAGGTACACGTGGTTGTAGACACTTCAAACCGTAATATAAAAAAGTCAAAATAATGCTAGTTAAATTCGGTTGAAATCATTCGAATATAATACTTCCTGAAATACAGGATTTTACATAAGCAATGGTAGTGGCCCAATTTTTATTCCGATTCACTTGGAGCCCTGACGTAACATGCTCACTTTAAACTGTAAAACAAATTTTTACCGTGCCATAAATAAAAATAATGTGATTCTGGTATCGTTCTTGTTGATACCACTGTTATGGTTGGATATTATTGAGCAGTTAGCCATTAATCCGGATGCTAGTTTTTGTCCGCGTGTATTCACTTTTAGTATCTTACAGAATTTAGCAATCATGGATTTTTTGCTTGCGCCGTATGAACTTCATTTCCGCGTTATGCTACTGTAGTGGAGTCTTCAAGATGTAACACTCATTCTTGATGTGATAAAGCGAAAAACGTGACCATTTTGCAATTAATGTTTTTGTTATAAAGTATAATTATACAACAGTATTTTTCACAGTATCGCCCATCTGAAGCTATAACATTTTCTCATCTTTTAGACAAGTTGCTGATTCCATCACAAATGAACTGCGTCGGTTTGGCGGCGAATAAGTCATCAAGCCAATTTTTGATACCCTGTTTTGATGGGAACCGTATTCCAGTGATGGCGATCCGAACAAATGGTAGTGAGAAGAGACAAGATCTGGCCTATAAGACAGGTGAGGCAAAATATCTCAGTCGCTATTTTCCGAATAGGTTTTAACAGATCTTGCAACATGAGGCTGAACGTTCTCAGAATGTACAATGTTTGCCCTATGTCTAGTCAGAAATTCCGGTCACTTTTCGGTAATCGCTCGCTTCAATTTGATTAGTTGTTATCCGTAGCGTTCCCCAGTAACGGTTTCACTCGGTTTTAGGAGCTCATAATTCAGCACGCCCTTCGGATCACATCAAATACAAATACATAATTTGGCTTTTGGGACAGGTTTCACATATGATTTTGTGCATTTAAGGTCGTCGTATGGGATCCATTTTTCATTTTTGGTTTTAATGCATATGGTTGTTGTAAACGTTTTGATATAGCTGCTTGACTGACTCCCAAAGAATATATTATATAATATTTCTACTGTTATCACTTTAGAGAAATGCTCGTTAATTATTTTATTTATATCAGTGTTGTCGAATATTACTGGACTGACTAAATTAAATTTTGATAATGTTACGGGTGGATATTATGAATTTGATTACTTCAAATAAATATTCAATTTTTGCTTCTTTGTTGGAAGATAATATTACAATATGTTCGAAGTTTAAGCAATTTCCAAAGTTTTGTTTGGACGTGGGTTTTTAATTTGTACTTTCTATTGTCAAACGAGAATGTCTCTTTACAGTCGGAGGTATCAACAAAACATTTTAATGATAAATAACAAACCAATAAATTATGTGAGCGTTGATGTCCATAATGTTCCCATATTATTGTGCTTGTGGACAACCCTCATCTTTTTAAGAACGGCAGCACATAGGATTATTGTTCTTTCATAATTTATTGCCTAAACTTTTAATTTTGCTTCACCACGACTTGTAACCTACGTAAGGCACTATTTTTGCAAATTTTATAACGTCATTGATTCTAGATTTATATACTTTAAAATAATAGTGGATATAGCCTGTTGCCACCCATTTTTGCAATGTGAAAAAGGAATGTCTTGATAATATTACAGACCAAATTTGGTTAAAATATGAAAAAATAGAGGATTTCACCTAATCGTGATCGGTGCCACTACCATTGTCAAATTATGATACCGACTCCCATGCAGTTCTTTCGTACAATATAGGTTGTAAATTTAATGATTCTGACATATTTATTCAGCAAGTTATCGCGGTTTTTGTTGTTTTAGACATACCCGTTATATAAAACTGGATTCCCACCGATTTTACATATTCATTGTAAGGGAGGAGGGGTCAAAAATATTTGCTCCGAGCGATTTTCGTTAAGTAGTTTGTGAGATATGTATATCAATCTTATAAGGGAGCGGTGCCACAACAACTTATAAGAAAATTTCTTACCACAGATGTCCCTTTCTCCTGCGATTCACTGTACTAAATTACAGTTTTGTATCTTAATTTTCGGCTAAATTATATAACTTTATACTATATGTTCGATTAGTTGCGTTTTGTGGGCGTGGTGCCAAGGAACATTTATACCAAGTGTCATCAAAATATCTCAAATTTAAGTAAAGCTGCAGCTTACACGGTCTGAAGGACAAAAAGACAGTCAATCAGAATTCAACTTATCTCGTCATCCTGAACATAGGTATATTGTTTAGGATTATTTACATTAGTTTAAGATTATTTTCTTATAATGTCAAGTCTGATCTAGCAATACTGTCTTATCTAAGCTTTATATTTGTCATCTTTCTTTTATCAATCATTTCTCTTTATAATTATCTTTGTTTATGCATATTTAAAGTTACGGTATTTTAAAACTCCGTTGAACTCCTATAAATGTCGGATGACATGTGTGTACGAACTCTTCTCTGATTGTAACTCGGTGCGGATTGTACACGTCTCTGGTTTGGTGTCAAGTCAACCGTTCACAATCGTTCAAATCCGAATAAAGCATTGATAACTCTACCCGCTGGTAATTTAATCATTTAACGTTTTGGTGCCTCCTGTGAGGACAAATATTGTATTTTAATTTCGTTTTGTAATTGCGGTTTTGGGATTTCATAGCGGAGCTCAATTGGCGTACATCAGCAGTGAAAGCAATAAAGCGCATACATGCACGTGTCTCGGAAGGTGCCATCGAAGGTCGTGATGTGTTTCACTTTCAACAGGAGCACAAGTCGCTTGAATCACATTTTGAGCGCTTCATGAAGAATCATAATCGTCTGGTCGGAGGAGCTACGTAACAATCCTATGCCGAAACAAGTCCAACAACACGTCAACGTTTGCTTCTACGACTACGGCAGCCGTAGGCAATGAGGTACCTGCCGACAACCACAATAGGTTAGCTCTGTGACGGATCGTCTAGCGAACTGTTTGCAGCTATATCGACGAAAATGTGATGTGAGTGTAGAAGGTGTAGGTGCTACCATCAATACTCGAGTGAAAGGCAGCGTTACGTTCACTCTGAGATCAACAACAACTAACTGCGAATTGATGCTTTGGTTTTATCGTCCATTACTTCTCCGTCTCCAACAGTGAAGATTGACATGAACCAATAGCCATATTTGAGAGACATAGACCGTTTCGGTACGCCTGGAACTATCTACGTTGTTATCGGCGTGGACGTGTGGGGGCGACTCCTTGAAGGTGGAGGACCAGACAAACCTTTCGTCCAGCGTACCCGGTTTGGATGGGTGGTGTTTGGTCCAGCAGCAGTGATCCTTCTTGCAAAGGAATCGTTGCTCACTCTCACCACTTCGCTTGACAGGGAGGACCACCGGTTGGAGGAACTGGTGTCCAAATTTTGGCAAATGGAGGAAATAGCAGTTTTTGACAATATGCCAGAGAATGAATGTACGCAGATCTTCGAGACCACTCATAGTCGTACCTTAGACTCCATATAGTACTTTTACATGTTTACTTATTATCATTATTTCATAGTTTTTCGATTTAGCCCATTTTATCTAAATACGACGCTATGAAAATGCAGCCCAATCGGTAGTCGTAGTATTTCAAAAGATATGCAGTCAATTTTCAATAGCAAAGCACTGATTTAAATAAATTTTGACAACTCCGCGACGATGCGCAAAATTCGGCGTCAATATGTATGCGAGCTCGGTTGTATGTATGTTTGTCGGCAAAGTTGTGCTTTGGTTTTTTTCAACCGAGGACAAAGGCGTTTCAACGGAGAATTTTTATCATATTATTATATTGCTTGAATTGTATAGAGAAATACTGATATCTTAGGGCTTATTTACATAATATTATAAGATTTACGTAAAAATATAAATACCATAAATTCATAATTAATCAAATGTTTTTAAAATAAATTCGATTAATAAAAATATATCTGAAATAATTATGTGACAATGCACCCCCTGACCCCTCCTTGCTTGCGATCGTTCAACTTGTTTTGTTCTAGCTGTTCTCGCAAAAAACAAAAAGTAAAGAAAAAGTCTTTGTTTGTGCGAGGCAAGGAGAAGCAAGCATCAGCGTATGTGTACTTATGAATTTATGTGTGATTTTCAAATTTGTATAAATACGCGTCAATAAAAGAATTTTCAATAAACCTAAACATATGAACATGTTTTTCTGAAATAATCTAATTATTTTAGTGAGTAAAATATGCTGTTTAAGTAACTGCATTGAGATATACTAAAATTCCAATTAATAAAATAAAAATTTAAGTTTCAGGATTCGATCGTAAATGCTCGCATTCGGATTAATTTTAACTTCTTCACGTTTACGACCTAAGCCACCAGAAAACTGGGAACGCGATCGCTTAGCCATTGTTTTATTGTTATCCTTTGCCTATTACATATTGTTTATGCAACGCACAAAAATGTGTTGAAGAATATATTTATTAATTACGTATTTTAAATTACAAAAATTATGATTTTTTGTGCAAATGTACAAATGTAGGTTTGCCACCGTTACTGTCACATTGTGATGCTTTGGGTTCTTTCCTCTCCTTTTGCTGCTGTAGAAGGTACCGATAGCTGATATAAGCGCTCAAATTGATTTCCCTGGATGTCAATAGGCACCATACTGGCTAATACTTCAGCAGCGTCGCTTGATATGGTTCGGAAAGCCTATGCACTGTGATTATTGGTCTAACATATGATTTTGGGCCTAGCGCTTGGATCCATATTGGAGCTGCATACAGTATAACTGATCTCATTGCCTTAGCTATTAAAAATCGTCGACTGGAACGCACACAGCCTCTATTTGCCATCATTCTAGATAAAGAATTATAGATTTTATTTGCTTTACCCGTCGTCCAATATTAGACCAAGATACTTCAGCTGAGGCTGTGAAGTTATCTGATATTCTCCTATGGTGTTGTTGATGTATTCTAAGCACCCCGTCGTACATGAGATTCCTTAGAAGAGGCCTAAAACCGAACCTTGCGGTACTCTACTCGAAATAGAGTAACTATTGGCACCCTCATCTGTGACGAATAGCAGCCTTCTGTTCTCAAAATAACTCATAATAATATTTATGAGATATTGGAGAGCGCATATTTCGTACAGAGCCTTGATGACACATCCAGAGCCACATCCAGGGTAATTACTGCGCAATACATTTTTGCGTCACCTTTCCATCTTTAGCCACTTATTGCACATTTAGTAATATCAACGACTTCACTTAGTGCGTCAATAGTCGACCTTTTTTTTTTATAAAGCCGTATTGTCTCTCTGATTCTGCCGGCTTTTTGGATTGCTTACTCCAAGCGGTTTCTTACTATGCTTTCGTACACTTTACCAATCCTGTTGAGCATGTACAGAGGTCGATATGATAAAGGTTCTTCAGGTGGCTTTTTCGGTTTTGAGAGTAGAACCAAACGCTGCAACTTTCACGGGGCCGGAAACATGCATTCCAATATACACGCATTGTACATTTTAACAAACAAACTGGGTCTCAGAGTCATGGCTTCTTTTAGGGCTCTATTTGGTATACCATCTATTCCATGCGCTTTGGAGTTTTTAATTTTTTTCGCGATAGCCAATAGGTCTTATTTTTTGACTAATAGAGGGGGTGTATATATTTTGACTAATAGAGGGTTTTATATGCCTGCTAAGCGCGTCGTTAGCAAACATTAGGTCTATTACGGAACCTTTATTGTCCTTTTGATAGGTGTTTTGCGTGCCACTGTTTATTATTGTAAGGCTCGTTTGGCTCAAGAATTCTAGGATATGACGGCCACGATGATTCGTGCTTCTGCTACCCCAAGAAGTAGACGATGCATTAAAATCTTCCGCTATTATTATCGGAGATTTGCTTCTAGTCTCTAGAGACAGCTCAAGGAGAAAGTCTTTGAACTCATTTATTGACGTGCTAGGAAGAGCATAGCAGCTTACAAGGTATATTCCATGTACATATATTTGCCCATGTGAAGCCGTTTTGGGCTTCTCTGGAGCACGATGTGAAAGCTTGTTCTTTGCATGACCATATTGCTGCCTTGCCACTTATATCTTTAATCCAAGTGCTTTCCGAACGCTGAGTATGTTGCTCGCTTAACAGGGCGATATCTATGTTTTCTTCTAGCACCGTCTGTTTTAGCAGATCTTATACTGCAGCGCTGGTTAAGGTTTAATTGTAATATCTTCATTTTTCCATTGACTTTATCATATCCTGATACTTAGGACAAGCCGTACGCAGCGTGTACAGAGGGAAGACCTGTTAATGGGGTTGCGACATTTATGCGCCATATGCCCCACTTCGAAACACCTAAAACAGCGAGTGATAGATGAATATTCCCGGAGATGAATACACTACCCGATCTTTACTTTGCCTTGCTTAAATACGGTCTTGTCGTCCTCGGCGCGCAGGCATATAAGGGTTATTTGTGTGCCGCTTCGGATGTTTCGCATACTTTTAACATTTTCTTTCACTAGATTTTGAGTCCCACACTCCTCTTGTAATGCGTCGCAGATTTCTTAGGGTGTGGTTATCTCGTCTAGATCCTTGCACATAATGGTAACGTTATGCGTTTTTGGCTGTATTACCGCCATCTCACCAATCACTCCTTATAGGGCTCTCTCGAACATGTCGGCTCTTTTGTCTGCTTGGTTTTTTAGTTCTATTAGCAGATCTTCTTTCAATTCCTCAAGGCCACTATCACATTTAATTTCCCTTGGGATATCCGCATACGACGCTACCTCCTTTTTTTTAGAATAATAACGTCTGGCTTCGATCTGATTTTGATTCTTTCAGTACTCTGGTATGTATTGTATATATGTATGTGTTGTAAACAAAGTGGATTTGAAAAAAATTTATTTGACGGCAATAAATCTATTTATTAAATATTAGACTTAGTAATTATACAAAAGTTGGTCTGATATACTAATATATGTGTCTTTGTTTATATAAACCTTAATTTTGTCTTTAAAGTTAAGCTTATATATTAATATATGCGGTTTTATTCAAAAATAAATTAATAAAAATTAATTATCTGTCATTGTAACAAAAAATATTTGATTGATATGTGTGCTAAGAATATTCTAAAACGAATATTACACTTCAAAATTTTTTCAGCATACATAAAACACAACAAAAATGTTAATAGTTCTCAATAAAAAACTCTCAAAACACTAAAACACAAGAACAAAAAAAAAACATAAATAAAGATCAAATACATACGTGCACCGGCTACTGATCATGTGCATTTGATGTGCTTGTCTCTGCTTGTCATGAGTTTTGGTTTAACATACACATGTTTTGATAAGCAAGACCGCCACAACTCTGTGCAAATAAAAGTGAGGAGTGTGAAAAAAAGACACAACTACGACACAATAGCAAATATGCGAAGTGCTCAGTTACTTCTCTCGCTCATATTTCTTTGTGTATTATTAATATTGTTGTTACTGATCAAGGAAAAATTCAATCATAGTTTGAGATGAGTGCATAATAGCTCACAAATATTCTCGAAGCATTCCACAGAACAATGCAAGATTTAAACGGCAACGATCAAGTTTTCGTTGGTGTTTTCTTCTGAGTACTACTATCTGGGGGTTAGCCGTTAATTTTGCGAAAACATTCGATGAATTTTGAACAAAACATTACCATATGATAAGACATATGGTGTGCGACGAGCACTCTTCTGCTCTCTTCCTGCACCCGTATACACTATGACTACTATATACAGTCGGTAAGTTATATGTAAGTAAGACAGGGTGCTGCTTTACATTACGCCTAACATATCACATCACAATGGATTCGATCGATATTCGGCAGTATTTTTTGCAAAGTTTTAACTCGATGTCTTTATTGTTTAAGATGAAAAGTAGGCGTGGTTGTAGACCGAATTCGCACATCGTAATATGGGAATGTCGAAATAATGTTATAAATCTAATTTCGTTTAAATTTGTCAAGTAGCTCATAAAAAATAGATTTTACGATGATTTCAATAGAACGGACAGACTGTCACCCGGATTTGAATTCGCTCCGTCATCCTAATCGGTTATATATGGTTATATATTCCATCGAAAATTTACATTCAACCTTAAGTTTGTGTACAAAACATTTTTTGTTTGTGTTATTTGAGGTAAAATATTGGACAGGTATTTTTTTATTTCGACGCAATACGAAAAATTTTGGAGTTATGAATTTTCAAAATTTCAACTTTTGAAAAAAGTACTTTTAGGCATTGACGTATTCGAAGAAAACTAATTAATACAAAAATAACTAGCCGGCTTATTCTCTACTATTTTTTCTCAGCTTTCCAATGAGAGAAATGTTGAATCATCAAAATATACGTTTTTATAAACAAATACTTTTTTTTTCAAATTTGGAACTATTTTTATTTTTTATGAAAAATTTATATTAGTCGCTTTACTTACTAAGTTATAAGTTTCGGGGTGTTAAATATAATAAGTATTTTATGGAACCTAAAATGGAAGTCAAGCCAAGAGCTTAATTTCAAAGAATTTCTTAAATCTCGCCGAAAATAGAAGTATATATATTATTTAGATCTATAAAAAAAAATTTTAAGGCAAAATATAAAAGAGTATGAGTTTTATATAGCGCAATTAATAAAGAGCGAGTAAGGAGAAAGGTGCTCAAAAACTGTGGATTCTGGCAAACTATAAAGCAAATGCCAAGTGATGTATTTTTCGCCTACTTTAGAATGAAACCAGACACTTGTGAGGTAACTATACACATATTTTGCACATTCATATGGTTGGGTATCATCTAATTTATAAAAAATACTAGGACATCCTCTACAGAAACTTCAATACATGCTAAAGCCATTATGGAGAACACCCCGAACTGGCCGACCTTGCTTATCATTGCAAAGATGTAATAGGTATACACCTAACTTTGTGGAAACTTAGTAATCAAAATAGTTTTCGAGAATTAAGTGATCGGTTTCACCTAGGAACTGGGACTACGTAAAATAACTTTATACGAACAATAAAAGAAGTCGGTCCCTTGAATGCTAAGCTAATAAAATTTCCATTAACCGAAGAGTGCCAACGAGCTTCTATGGATCAGTCCTAGTCGTGCAATGTCATTTCCATTTTTGTTAGGGTGCGTGGATGAAATGTATATTCAGCAGCCTAAAACTGATAACATTAGCTATTACAATAGAAAAGGAATTTTTTTAATTGTTGTACAGGTAAGTAATTTTTCCATATATATAGATTCCACATTAAAATAAAACTTCAATGTTTTTAGGCAAAAGTGGATAGCAAAATGCGTTTTACTGATGTTTTCGATGGATATCCAGGACGGTGTCATGATACATCCGTGGCGTAGCAGCCCAATACGACAAGCTATCGTAAGCAAAACGCTGAAAATTCCTCCACAATACCATTTATTGGAAGACGGCGCTTATCCCTTGGAAACTTTTTAATGGTATCATATAAAGATAATGTGCATCTAACACAAGAACAAAAAAGCTTCAATAATGTGCTCGACAAGAGTCTTCAGAGCCTTTGGTATTTTGAAAAAAAAAAAAATTTCGAATTCTTAATTACCTTGAAATACAAAACATGTCCCTGGGAAAGCACATAATAATGGCTTGTATGGTGCTTTATAATTTTATTATTAAGAACGAGGACTCTAATTGTCCATCTCTTCATAAAACTCCCCATAATTACGTTTTTTTATTCACTTGTACGTTACCATCTAGTTTAAAAAGTTCTAGTGATGTCGTCCCGACTGTAGCAGAATTCCGTGTCCATTCCTTTTATTGGGTTGGCAACTAAGTAATTGCGGATTAAAAAAAAAATCAAAGAAAATTTTTTCATGGAACTAAATAACTTTATTCTGTAATGTAAGCAAAAAACTGAATCAGGTACAACTGGACAAACAGAGCGTTTTTTATCTTTGAGTGAAAAATCACCAGAACGAAATTTGGCGAACCAATTTTGACACTGCCGTTCTTTTATGGCTTTGTCGCCATAAACAGCATATAACTTTTTGTGAGCTTGCGATGCGTTTTTCCCTTTGCGAAAATAAAAAAGCAAAATATGACGAAAATTTTGATCTTCCATTTTTCAACGAACGCCAAACGAAAACTACGCAACCGATCAAAAAACTTTTTTTTTACTGATTGACAGCTGAATTGCCAACTATCAAATAACAAAATGTGTTTTACATTTGGACTACGCCAGCAAACCTAAAAATTCAACTGAAGCCATCTACATATGAGTGAATTACTTAGTTGCCAACTCAGTACATCGTGGAGAATTTTCTCCCAAAGCACGGATCGTTTTTTTTTTTGGAAACAAACGCCCCTTCATACCTTAATCTTGTCGTTAACAAAAGCTTTCTTCGTTCAAAAGTCCATTTTTTTTTTTGTCAGAATCACTGAAAATAAATGCATTATTTAAAATAATTTAATAAAACAAATAAGAAGAAAATCTACCAATCCGAAACCGCCATCTTGATGAATTTAAATGTAAGAAAGCATCATGTTACTTAGTGTGCTTTTACACGGGGACTTAAAAGAGTCTAATTTTTTTCAAATTTTCTTTTGGTATCGCTCTGTGCATTCACACGGTCAAAAAGAGTCCAGCAACTCCAGTCTAGTTTTTCTGCATTCCTTTTCACAAAATTTTCGTAAATATTTGTGCGGTTCCACTGCGCAACGCTGCGTATTTCATTTGTATGTTGAGATGATGGTCACACATTTTGCTTGCAATGAATTACCATGAATATGGTAGAACAATATGCATAACACAAGTACCTACCCGCTAAATAGTTTCAAAGAAATACTAAAGACGGGAATTCCCTAATCCACAAGAATGTATTGAATATCCGCTACTAATATTTTCAAGGCCAAATTTATAATAGGAATTTCCTAATCTTTAAGTATTAAAAACTCATAATTTCTTTACTGCATATTAAAAATTCATAATTTCTTTACTCCATAATCTATATCTTAATTTTCTCCTTATTTACAATTTTTAAAAATATTTCTATTATTCTATGCATACATATTTGCATATTACATACAAAAAATAGATAACAGAATTCAAATTTGCGATCGAATTCATTTGAAACCAAGCGCTCTTGCAACCATTCAAAGGATTTGAAAGTGAAAAGGAATGCTGAAAAGGGTAGCAGCGAGCTGTTACGAACAAGAACACAAAGCGTGCCACCCGAACACAAGTGGCACGGCCCCTTCGTCTTTCTTCGTCGTCCCCTCGCCCGCAATAAACTGGTTTGAGACTCTTTTGAGTCCCCGTGTAAAAGCACACTTAGTGATGCGCAATTTTCTGGATCACTGCGCATCGACTACCGAGTTAATGCGTTTAAAATTATGATGTAATGCAATAAATATTACTGATGCTTAACAGAATAGTATACCATACTTTGTTCGTATGCATTGCAATTGACATTTTCGAAGTCAGCCTTCCTTTAAAATTGGTGGCGATGGCCACTCCCACTTAAACACTTGTACATATGTTGGTGTCTACACAAGAAATATTATATAAGCGAGAGAAGCAACTGACACTTCGTATATTTGCTATTGTGTCGTAGTTGTGTTTCTTTTTCACACTCCTCGCTTTTATTTGCACAGAGTTGTGGCGGTCTTGCTTATCAAAACATGTGTATGTTAAACCAAAACTCATGACAAGCAGAGACAAGCACATCAAATGCACATGATCAGTAGCCGGTGCACGTATGTATTTGATCTTTATTTATGTTTTTTTTCTTCTTGTGTTTTAGAGTTTTGAGAGTTTTTTTATTGAAAACTATTAACATTTTTGTTGTGTTTTATGTATGCTGAACACATTTTTAAAGTGTAATATTCGTTTTATTGTAGAATATTCTTAGCACACATATCAATCAAATATTTTTTGTTACAATGACAGATAATTAATTTTTATTAATTTTTTTTTGAATAAAACCGCATATATTAATATATAAGCCTAGCTTTAAAGAAAAAATTCAGGTTTATATAAACAAAGACATATGTACATAATACTATATCACACACACCTTTTGTATAATTACTACTTAAGTCTAATATTTAATAAATAAATTTGTTTATTACTGTGCAATAAATTTTTTTCAAATCCACTTTGTTCACAACACATATATACACTATCGGACAAAATAAAGTGCAAAGTATGGGCACTAATATTATATGCTTGTTAACATAAATACATATATGTGGATATGTAGATTTATTCAAAGTAAAGACGATAACTTATATTTCATTTGAAAAGAAGGGAAAATAAAAAATAATAATATTAATAACTTTCTTAAACTATACACAGTAGTAAAACTATTTGCAGCCCCTACTTCCTACATAAGACAAAATAAAGTGCAAAATATAACAAATGTTCTGGGTATTCATTAAATGTTAAATCAAAATTTATGTTAATACTTGGTATGTCCTCTTTTATTTTTGATGACCTCTGTCAAGCATTTCGCTTGCTGCGTGCTGACAGGTAAGTTTTTTAGTGTAGCCTTAGGAATTTTTCTCCACCGGGCTACTCCAATTGTTCAATCCGCTGTTAAAGCGCTGTGTTATCGTGCTATTGTACTTGGAATCATTATTCTGTTGAAGGGTAAAACTATTCAGGCACATTTCCTCAGCGCTTTTCGAAAGGTTCTCCTTCAATACATCAACATGAAGCTCACCAGTCCTCCAACTCCTGCCGGTGAAAAGCAAACCTAGACCATAAGCCCTCCATGCTTGACTGTGTATGAAATATATTTTGGCTGTAGTCTCTTTGAGGGCTCACACCACACCCGTTTACTCCTTTTGGAATTTTTTGACTCAAGTTTCGATTCGTCTGATCAAATAACGCGATTTCAAAACGATTTCAACGCATGTTAACGTAAGTTTTCGCAAAATTTAGCCATTTTTTAATATTTGCTGCGCGAAGTAGAGATTTCCTTTTGCGAAATAGCTTTTCATACTCAACCAACCTTCAATGCACTTTACGTAATGAAGTATTTAAGTTGCAGGACTCTTTTATTTCTCTTGTTGAATTTAGTAGATATTTTTTGTCTTCCATTGCAATTTTTCGGTCATCTTGAATAGTGGTTTTCCATTTCCATCCACATAATGTTTTTAAACTTTATGTTATTCCTAACGATTTCTGTTTTTCCACAATTTCCCTGGCTTCAGTGATCGAAATACCACATTTCTTTGCCAAATCTTTATATCTAGCACCAATAAATCCTTTTCCTATTTGAAAAGTGGCTTCATTAAAAAAGTCAGCAAGTAAAAAGTTTTTTCTTCTTTGTTTGGTAATATGTTAACTAAAATTTAGTTACCCTTGACTTTAAATTACAATTTTATTCCCAAAAAACTAAAAAAATAACTACTGCTAACTATTTGTAAACAATTTATTCTGTCGCAGTTCACTGGCAAAATACCAAGTTTGATATATACAAGTAACTATATAACGGGATATGTACATTATGAATTTTACTACTTCCTATCGGACAAAGAAGAACAAAGTAGTAAATACGCTCAAAATTTTCAGAGCTGCTACAATCGGATTATGTCATATACTCAGAGAGACTTTTCTGTGTTGTTGCTCCAGAGAACTTAAATTAACATTTATCATTTACGTTCTCTGATAATATCAAAAATTCTGTTTCTCCATGTGAATGTAGATTCACCAGAGAATGTAAATGAACTCCATATTGATGTACATATGTATGAAAAGTATTAAAAAAAGTAAAATATATTTTTTTGCATAATCTTTCGCATTGTATCATGCCGCATTTTTGCAAAAAAAAAAATCATATTCTATCAATTTTTCATTATAAAAACCGTTTATATGACCAAAAATTATCATGCATATGTGAAGTGGCATTAGTATTTTTTGTTCAAAGTATTTAATTTTTGTCTTTACGTGAGTAGATACGTATTTCTGTTAGAGAGCATTCTCATCTCTGCGAAATGATGATGATGAATTCCCTGCTCGGAATTTTTCAGCTCTGTTTGCCGTCCAATCGAGAATTGTACAAAATTCAATTTGCACCTTCTCGTCCAACTACGTTCTTTGTTACTACCACGAAAATGCGCGATTGATATTTCGCGTTTTCATTTAATTTTAAAACGTTTCCATAGCTATAATAACAAAACTGACTGAAAGCAAATGTTTTGGCACCTTTATCTACATTGTGAAAATGGGTGAAATCGGGTGACAAAACCGCCCACTCCCCATATAACGGTATTGCCAAAAACTACTAAAAGCGCCATAAATCACGTGGCACCGCCCACTTTTAGGTGAAAACCCATATCTAAGAATCTGCTTAACCGATTTCAACCAACGTGCATAACGTTCTTTTCATATTTCTATGTCATAGAGCATAAATGGGCGAAGTCGGACTACCACCACGCCTTTTTCTCATATAACACCATTTTCAATTCCATCTGATTCTTTCACTTTCCACTATGCATATCAAGCAAAAATGATTGTATCGGGGTAAAACTTTGCGTGAATAATGTGTTTGAAGTATGCCACCGTGTGACCAAAAAGTCACGTGTGGCGGCAAGATCCACAAAGAAATCTAAAACAAGTATACCATTTGACTTTGGGAGAGTATAAAATGTTCGGTTACATTCGAACTTAGCCCTTCCTTACTTGTTAAGGGTACAAGCATTCGAAATATCGGTTTTTTTCAAAACTTAATACTAAGTGTGCCCCTTAACACAATTGTGATATACATTATTCTTACTTTTAAGGTGGATGAAACTCGATTAAATCTGGACTCAGTGTGCTAAATTTTACTATAATCGGTACAGTAGTTTAGGAGTTTACCCCGGATACGTGATTTAGATATATATAATATATATATATATATATATATATATGTATATTCAAAGCTGAAACCTTTTACGCAAACACCGCTTAGTATATTTTCCAAGTAGAAAAAAACATTCTTAATATATGCACAATTCAAGCGAACAATAAACATTTACAAGTAACATTTACTTGTATGTAATTTAAATTGCTTTATCTTTCTTTTAATACTGCAGGTATGTCCAGCTTGTGGCCCATAAATCATTAGTTTTAAATTGGATTGGATGAGATGATCATATTCGAAGTGAAGTATCTAAGGAAAGCAAAAAAATGGAGAAGATGAAATTATACTACACTGCTATCATCAAATATTATCATGGGCTTTTTGAATAACTAGTCATTTAGGTAAAAAGGAAGGCCACAAAAATCAATACGTAAGAACTTTGTTGCATTCTTATAACTGTATTGCACTATTCTGTTGTAAGTATTAGTCATATTGACTACACGTTGGCTAAATAACATAAGAAGTAACACTAATAAGGCTATAATAGCTTTGCTGAGAAACAACTTCTAATTGCAACGTCAATTTATATTAATATTATGTTAAACAAATAGAAAATAGATGCTGCTTACATCTATTGTAAATAATATTAGGAATGCTATTTTATACATTTATTACATGATTTCAACCTAGGGGTTCTATACTCATTCAATAATGCCCTATTTATATCATGAACAGGCTATATTCAGTTTGCCACGAACTTTGAAATATCCTGAAGGAAACGCCGGAGACCCTATACCCGCCTAGCGGTCATACAAACTGAACGATCGGAATCAAGTGCTCGTATGAAAAACTTTTTCGTTTAATGAGATATCTTCATCAAATTTTGCGTGGGCGATTGTCCAAGACAACGGTGCAATTTTCAAAAAAATCAGATCTAGTCACGATAGTGTGTATAGCTGCCATACAAATTTACCGATCAAAATCAAGTTCTTGTCATCCTTTGTATTATAGCTTCGTGCAACCGTGCAACCGAAGTTAACGTTTTTTCTTGTTTTTAATGATGTTTGCATATTATAATTCACGACCTAAACTTTTACATACATTTTCAGGTCAGCATTATCACGAAATTCGTCGCCTGTTTAAGACTAAATTTTGAAGAGTCAAATTATTCATCTATCTGCTTGCGAAAATTGATATTAATACACAAATTAGGACACCTGAAGAAAAAAAACTACACAAACTGCATGTGCAAACTATAATCGTCAGTTGTACCTTTAATACTTACTAATAGTACTGCTGATTCGACAAACAAGAAGTTTATAAATACAAAAAGGATGAAAGCGCAAAAATTTAAAAATCAATAAAATAGAAAAAGTATGGTTCTTCCTTGTGGTAGAAAATGTTGAATCTGGGACTTCAAAGAGTAGTATATACGGGTATATTGACTAGTAGATGTATATGACTTTAAAATAAGTACGACTTGTAATCTGAAATATTTGTTTCAAACAGTCAGAGAAATATCAGAAATGATTTTTAAGTCCGAAGATATGCGATGATAATGTCAGATATTCACATCTAAAAATACAGAAATATTCTAAAATGGACAAATTTAATATTTTTTTGCAATCGCAAATTTTATATAAACATAAAAGCTGATTAAAAAAATTTAGCAATAAACATCAACGCTATATTATATGACTATAGGAAGTCATCATATTCTAAATTTTAAAAACTTCACTTTTTAATATTAGTGTTTTAATCATCATCTACGCCCACTGCAATAAAATGGTTGGTACGCAAGAAAAACAAACTATGAACTCTCACTCAGGAAGTAATCTACCGCATATACTCAACCATCTTGACGTAACTGCAGTAATCACAAATGATGTTGTAGGTACAATTACCGATACATCCATTGGTAACAGTGTTACTAATCATTCAACGAAGAAAATTGTCAATCATAATAGTGACGCCATAACAGACTTCTCTCATGCGAGAAAAACAATCACTTATGCAGATAGCACTGTGACCGTGATAAAGAACTCTAACGAAAATGTAATCTCGAAAATTAATTTTTGCTCGCAGATCCAATCACAAAATCAATTTGTTCATAACTGTAGTAACAGTGATATATGTTTCAAGCAAAATATTGTTCGACAAACTCAAGTGTCCCTAGAAGATTCCACTGATAGCATCAATGGGTTATCTACACAGTTTCAAATATCGCTGCAGAGACAAATAGATGAAAATGTCAGTCCAGACGAACAACATAGTATTGGTAATCCAGGAAAAGGAAAGATTGATGCAGTTGACAACAATTGGTATTCCTCTAAGTCACTTACGGGTGAGTTTCCGGATACATTTTTCTATATATAGTTTAGTCGTGATCATGTTAGTAAAGATTTTAAATGTATATACACTACTTCAAGAAGAAATTTAAATTTGAAGTATAAATATAATTAGAAATATTTATATAATATACCATATATAATATACTACTGATTCTATTTAGCTACTACTGTTTGATAGGAAAAATTTTTATTTTAAATATAGAACATAATACATATCCATTATAGACCACATTAGTGTGAAACTTACCTCTGTTAAGATGTAGTTTATGTTGTTTGTTTGAACACGCTATTGTTAAAAAAAATGTTTTGGAAGAAATTACATTTATCTTTGCTTGCTTAAACCTGTCGAACTTTCAAGCACCGATCAAGATAACATATATAGGTATATGAGCTCGTCATCTTTGAGGCCAATTGCGGTATTTTACCATCTTTGAATAATCACTTTAAATTATGTCTTGCATCCGGGCCAACCGTAAGAAAAAGTTTTATAGTAGTAGTTTTTTTTTTATAAGGAAGCTTTCAAAGTGCTCGACGTATTCTTTAATTTGCTCCGTGAAATCAATTCCAAATCCAAAGAACATTACAATAAACAAAATCTAATGAGTGAAATTAATAACTACAAGCTAAGGACGTAAAACCCAAAATAAATCTGTTTGGATAATAACACTAACAAATATAAACAAAAACCAAGTAAGGAAGGGCTAAGTTCGGATGTAACCGAACATTTTATACTCTCGCAAAGTCAAATGGTATATTCGTTTGAGATTTCTTTGTGGATTGACTGATATTTTCTGTAGAAGGTCAACTATAGGCACTGGGGTCCACATATTTAGTACTTAGGGGCTTGAATAGTTTTGGTTCGATTTAGACAATTTTTGGTCACAAGGGGGCATACTTTAAACGTATTATTCACGCAAATTTTTACCCCGATATAATCATTGTTGCTTGATATGCATAGTGGAAAGTGAAAGAATCAGATGGAATTGAAAATGGTGTTATATGGTAAATAGGCGTGGTTGTAGTCCGATTTCGCCCATTTTCGTATTATAACATAGAAATATGAGAAGAATATTATTTACCGAATTTGGTTGAAATCAGTTAAGCAGATCCCAAGATATGGGTTTTCACCTAAAAGTGGGCGGTGCCACGCTTACTATCTAATTTTAAAACGTGGTTCCTATAAAATCATCTTATACCATCCCAGAAATAAAATTTAGTGTCTTGTTTAGTGCTTGATTTATCTCGCTTTAAGTAGTTTTTAGCAGTACCGTTATATGGGGAGTGGGCGGAGTTGTCACCCGATTTCACCCATTTTCACTCAAGTTAGAGCTTGCACGGACGGACGGAGGGACGGAAAGACAGTCACCCGTTTCAACTCGTCTCTTCATCCTGATCATTTATATATATAATATATAACCCTATATCTAACTCGATTAGTTTTAGGTGATACAAACAACCGTTAGGTGAACAAAACTATTATACTCTGTAGCAACAGGTTGCGAGAGTATAATAATTGAAAAACAAGTGGGCAAAACAAAAAGACAATAACCATAATAAGTGCTGCGCAGCACTCATCAACAAGGCCGAAGGCATTCCTGGAATTCATATTTTAGTTTGATGGAAATTATAAAATTCTTGTCAAACAATCACAAAACATTATTTTTCCTATCATCTGAAGAACTCTAAGGGCGTAGTTGTTGTTATCAAAGGTATAGAGTCTTCGGTAGATTCTAATGAAATCAATGAAGGTCTTAAAGAACGTGATTACGACAGTAAAACGGTTGAAAATATTTTAAATAGAAATAAAGTACCACAACCAATGTTTAAGATGGAGTTGATGCCAAATGCTAACCAATTAAAGAAAAATGAAACACATTCGATTTACGTCGTAGAGTGTCCTGGTACAATGCACCTGCCAAGAGAGTACCAAATCATATTGCACTCTACGCAGTCTTTGTGTAGTATGTGGTGATTTACACCCTGCATCCAAATGTACCCTCAAGAAAGAGGATTTTAAGTGTAGTAATTGAAATCGAAGTTATCGCTCGGAATTCAAGCACGTCGACCAATTGCTAAATATTCCGCGCGAAATTATTGAAATCACTGACCAAAGTTCAAAACGTGGCAATGTTAAGAATAATGTGGTTTAAGAAATTATGATAATGTGGTAATAGGAAACACTGTAAAAATGCGTTTTGCCCAAACCAAACTAAGTGGAAGCGTTGAAAGTAAGATTCTAAACTTATGTGACCATATTTTTTCCGGCATAATCCGGGACGGTTTGTTTTAGTTATCGATTTTTTCCCTATTATTATTATATATAAATTACTAAAAAATGCGACATGTAATAGGTGAGAGAGCAACACAATTTTATTCAAAAATAATGGAAATGATAAAAGAGAAAGCAAAGTAATATTAAAAATAATTAAAAGATTCAATCACTGTCTGGTTCGATCGTTTGTATATCAGATGATGAAGTGAACGGTGTTTCCAGAATTGTTGAAGACGTCTTCGGTCTGACGTATTTCTCTTGTTGACTGATTTTTCGAAGAAACCGGGGTGTGATTTTAAGTGAGTGAAAAATTCCAATAGTTTTACATGAGCAAACTGTTGAGTCCATACCTCAAGACATTCGTAGCAACCCCTGATTGACATATTGAAGACAATTAAAAATGAGTAAACGAAAATTGAGATTAAATTTCCTTCAATTTTCTTTGTTTCTTCGAAAATCATGGACTAAAACTAATAAGATAATAATTAAATAATTTCTCGACTTTGGAAAAATTTTAGTTAATAAAAATATATTTTCACTTGTGCATGAACAAAAATGGACCAGAGCGTCGATAGTGGATTACTGAAAAAATGGCGGATACAACTGACTTTTATTAGGGGTGAAGGAAGGCCGTCGAAATACGTTTTCAAAAGTTGGAACATTCGAATAATTTTTCCCAAAGCTTCTCTCAAGCCTGTGAACCGAGCTTTGCAGTAACCAACTAGTTGATCGTATTCGTCTTCAGAAATCTCGCAGATTGACTTTAATGCTTCTGTGCGAATGGTGTAAATGTAAAAATGTGTGTAGATCCGAACAACATTGCTCTCTATTTCAACCTCAATTGTATTACATGCGTTACGAATCGCATTATGCACGATATGGACTGCACAACCTACACCAACTATGTTCGACAGAAAACATCTTGATTGCTTTGCGACTGGAATCGTCGATCGACAAACAAATGAATTGGGCTTTCTGTAAATCAGGCTTAAGGCATTCCAATGCGTATGGTGCAAAAACATTGTTTATTATCGCTTCACTTTTTGTTCTTGACTTTTTTCATTTGGAAAGAGGTTCGAAATATTTTGGTTTGAAAAAATCAGAATCAGACGATAATTGCTTTTTGAAATGATTTTTTGAATAGCAAACCTGAAACTGGGATTATCATCAATTGTGCAGTACGCCCACACGCCTTCTATCGTCAATAGATTCAAATCTAGTTTCTCTCCAATGAAAAAATCTGATATGATTGAAATTTGAAAAGAAGCTGCCACTTTGTGCTTCTTTGTCTTCAAATGATTTTCAATATCATTGCCTCCACCAGCAACAACCGAAAAAGTTGCATTACATTTGTCGCAACGAACGTTGGAATCGTCATGACTCTCAAAAAAGGATTTTTTTTTTAAATTATCGTAGAAAACACACTTTCATTTCGACATTTCACAAAATAATATTTATTCGTAAATATTTATGCTTCAAATTCACAAATTTACCTTATGTCTCACTTTGAATTGTGAATGAAAGTAATGAACTGTCAGTGAACAACACTTACCTTCGCGCCAAAATCTACTACAGAATTCAATACATTCAAACCGAATGAGAAATAGAACATTCATGGTGGGCCATCTACATTGTCATATTTTTGTTCCGTTTATTGAGCTTTTTTTTTTTAATTTCTAAGCCCGGGACGGTCAGCTAATTTTAAACCTTACTCAATATAGGTATGACACAATTCTTGGCTACAATACAATATGATACAAGATTTAATCAAAACTCAAAACCAAATGTTGCAAACTTTTTTGAGTAAAAAATTACTGAACTAAATATTGGAGATTATTGGATTTCTAAATATAGATGTAATGTTATTATCAAAAATATATCTAACAAATAAGAACAATTTTTTATACTTAGTTTAAGACTCTATATTACAAATCACCCAGATAGAAAAGATATGACATAACCCTAGGAAATAGATATTTTGCAGTGGCGATTACATTGTAAAGCACATGTATTGGAGCGCACGTCTAATTAATCAGAAAGGTCAAGACAGCTGTTTTACGGTAAGCCGACATACCGGCCCAGAGATCGAAACAACATTACAGATTTAATTGATTTTGCTGTTATTAAAAATATAGCCAGACCGCTTATAACTGCTTATTCTGATCACTCTCCTGTGCTAATAAAACTACGCGAACAACCATTGGTTGTATCACCAAAAGTGGGCTTAACATCCCATAAAACAAGTCAGTTAAAATATAAAACATATTGTAGTAGCCAACTTAACATCGATTCAAAATAAACTCAGAAAGAGATATTGATCAAAACATTAGCGAATTTACTGATATAAACACTAATGCAGCTGTCATAGCAACTCCAAACAAAACTAAGAAGTTGCATGGTTTTAGAAGAATCACAAATGTTGAAATAAAAAACTTGTAACAGAAAAAGGCAAGCTGGTGGTAAATCGCTGTGACTGGAGGTAAATCGCTCTCCTTTCACTTAGTCTGTAATTGATGTATGCTGTACGTAAATTAAGAAAAGCGCTTAAGTGTTCGGAAGAATACAACACTGAAAATTATATAAAGAAACTGAGCCCAAATTCAACAAAAAACAGAACTCTCTTTAGAAAGCGCAAAAACACATTAAGCCGCCGGTTGATTCCAACATGCCTATATGGGACGTGCGAGGTAATTGGTCTCGAAGCGAAGAGGAAAAAGCAAG